TTTTATCCATTTTGAGTTTATTTTTGTGTATGGTGTAAGTTGATGGTCTAGTTTCATTTTTTTGCATGTAGCTGTCCAATTTTCCCAACACCATTTATGAAAGAGGCTGTCTTTACTCCACTGTATGCTCTTGCCACCTTTGTCAAATAGTAATTGAGCGTATTGCCTTGGGTCCATTTCTGGGTTTTCAGTTCTGTTCCACTGGTCTATATGCCTGTTCTTGTGCCAGTACCAGGCTGTTTTGGTTACAGTCGCTTTGTAGTATAACCTGATATCTGGTATTGTGATTCCCACCTACTTTGTTCTTTTTTTTCAAGATTGCGGTGGCTATTCGGGGTCTTTTTTGGTTCCATATGAACTTTTGAAGTATTTGTTCTAGTTCTATGAAATATGTAGTTGGTATTTTGATGGGGATTGCATTGAATCTATAGATTGCTTTGGGCAGTATGGACATTTTAATTATGTTAATTCTTCCAATCCATGAACAGGGTATGTGCTTCCACTTTTTTATATCTTCCTCTATTTCTTTTTTCAATGACCTGTAGTTTTCTGCAAATAGGTCCTTTACTTCTTTGGTTAAGTTTATTCCTAGGTATCGTAGTTTTTTTGGCGCGATGGTAAATGGGATTGTTTTTTCACTTTCACTTTCTGTGAGTACATCATTGGTGTACAAGAATGCCGTCGATTTCTTGATGTTAATTTTGTATCCTGCTGCTTTGCCAAATTCATTTATTAAGTCTAGTAGATTTTTGATGGAGTCTTTAGGGTTTTCTATGTATAATATCATGTCATCTGCAAATAATGACAGTTTCACTTCCTCCTTTCCAATTTGGATCCCTTTTATTTTTTCTTCATGTCTGATTGCTGTGGCTAAGACTTCCAGTACAATGTTAAATAAGAGTGGCGAAAGTGCACATCCCTGTCTTGTTCCTGTTCTTAATGGAAATGTTTTTAGTTTCTGTCCATTGAGTATGATGTTGGCTGTAGGTCTTTCATATATGGCCTTTATTATGTCGAGATATGATCCCTCTATTCCTACATTGCTGAGCGTTTTTATCAGAAATGGATGCTGGATTTTGTCGAATGCTTTTTCAGCATCTATTGATATGATCATGTGGTTTTTATTCTTCATTTTGTTTATGTGGTGTGTCACGTTTATTGATTTGCGAATATTGTACCAGCCTATATTTACAAAAATTTTTAAGAACTGCATCTCTACTGAACCAATAGCATAACTTCTAGAAACTTATCACAAAGAAATTTACATGTGAGGTGTTAATGCTGTGTGTGTGTGTGTGTGTGTGAGAGAGAGAGAGAGAGAGAGAGAGAGAGAGAGAGAGAGAGTTGGTTTATAAAGATAAAAAAAGAAAGAAAAATATATTTTTTCTAAATAGGTGATTAAATAATTAAGTTATGGTCATCCATACTGTAAATTACCATATAGCAGTAATAATGATCAGGTATATGTATACTCACATAGGAAAATCTCTAGGAGAGATCATTTAGGGAAAAGCAAGCAGAAAATATGACTCCTGTGATACTATTTACCAGAAAACTAATAACAAATACTTGTATTTGTATAATAAATAGAATGGTATATATAATAATATAAAAATAACACAGTATACTATAATACAATATATTAAGTAATAATAAAATAATATGAGAAGATACACATCAACTGTTAATAATAGCTATTTGGGAGAAGAGGAATTGATTTGAAGGGGAAGTTAGCAAGAAGAATATTCTTTTTTTTTACTACATGCTTCTTCATATGTCATGTTCATGGGAGGGCATTATCCATGTACGTATGCACTTAGGACAAAATGAAAATGACTGTTTCTGTGTAAACAGAGGGAAGTTGAGGACGGGTTCAGAACAGAAAGGAAGACTAAAGGCAAGATGGGAGCACCAACATGAACATCTAACTTTGTAATTCCCTTACCAACCTTGGGTCTACAATACAGAAACCAGGCTCTGGGCAAAATCATAACCTCAAACAAAGGATTAAATTACAAATTGATCTGACTCTGGTTGCCAAGTCAGGATTAGTAACCCAGGGGAGAAGGGTTAAGAGCAATAGAAAAGCCTAATCAGCCCTGGCCAGTTTGGCTCAGTGGTTGGAGCATCGGCCTGCGGACCAGCGAGTCTTGGGTTTGGTTCCCGCTAGGGGTACATACAAAAAAAAAAAAAAGAAAAGCCTAATCAGGTTCACTGGATGGACTATCAACCCCTGGACTTTGAAAAGTTTATTCCCCATGGTGAGTTCTCCTTCAAATGACCAAGTTGCTGGCTTCCATCAGGGTCTTGCCATCTGTGATTGCCTCTTATGAGACAGTTTAGGAATCCAAAACAAAACGCAATTGGACAACTATTTAGTACGCTACCAGAGTCTATAGGGATAAACTTATTGCTTATTCATCACTAGAAAGTGGCAATAGAAGAGTCTTCCAAAAGAGAACTGGTCTCAGATCATTTTTGGAGGAAATTATTTAGATCTAAATTACTTTGCTCCAAAAATCTAATTTAGCAACTCATTGACCAAACATGGTTCACTCAAATGCTCTTTTCAAAAAAGAATGCTTCCTTTCATTGTTCCTGTTCCCTAACTTATCCTCAGCCCTATAAAATACCCAAAATAATTGTATGGCAATAAAGCAAAGGCTTAACCTGGTAACAGAAAGCCCTGTTGTTTGTTGTGAAGACATAAAGACTGAGATTATTATGCATTTATAAAAGGGAAATGTATTTAGACTAATGCAAAAGACAGCATGACAAGCTTAATTATAATGTAACGGTTTAGAAGTCAAAGCAAAAATAGAATGCTAAAAGTGCTTTGGAAGAGGCCAGGTAGTCTCAACATTGGTAATAGCTGTGCACAATCAATCTGACTCTAAGGACATTTTTTTCATTTATGTTTAAAGTTATAAAACCTTTCAGAAAATTCTGTAATTACAAAATACCTGGTATTTATTTTATATTTATGTTTGATAGAAATTTGTTAATTTAACTAACAAATTTATGACTTCCTCAAGAATTATTGAGGACTTGCTATATGTATGGCATAATCCAAAAAAGACATAGTCCCTAATTTCACAAATTCTATCAGTTAGTTGACAAATACACTATTTTATATATTACATATTCAACATGTGTTTAATGTACACTAATATGTGTGAGGTCCTGGGAAACACAAAAATTAATTTAACAAATAATCTTTGCCTCCAGGATACAATGTAATTATACAACCTCCAATGTACAAATCAGCGTGTCTTAAATTCAATAATGAAAGTTAGAACAAAGTGCTAAAACCTCAAAAAATCAAACAACTAAATCTGTAGAGCATCAAAATGAGTAGAGCATCAAAAAAAGGTTTCACTCTGAGTTCCTTTAGTACTTTAGATTCACAGTAATGTGCCTTCATTTCAAGTTGTCAACAAATGATCGTTGAACAAACACTACACGGTGGCAAGCACTGTGATAGTCCACAAGGTAGAAAGATCCTGACTCTGCTTAAGGAAGCAAATAACAATTTCAGTACAACATGACACAGACTCCAGTGAGGGGCACAGAGGTGCACCGGGTATGCAGAGAAACACCTGGGTGTGCAGAGAAACACCTAGGTGTGCATGAAGGACTCCGCAAAGTCTGAAACTCCCAGGATGAATAGGAATTGGCTGATTGATCGTGGAGGAGAAGAGATGGAAGGCAGACGAAAGAACAATGCTGCAAAGCCCGGACACAGCACCGTGAAAGCAGCCAGAAGTTCGACATGGCTGGAGAGGAAATGAATGGAAAAGAAAAGCAGGAAGGGAGGTGGAACTGGTAGATTAGGGGAGGGCTTTATATAAAAGTTCAAGAATTTGAGAATTGATGTTTAGGCCAACGGCAAAGGCGTTGAAGAATTTGTCTTAATGGAGAGCAGATTGAAGGCAGACAAGTCTGAAAGGGGGAGATTGTTAGGAAAACTTTGTAGTATTCTGGGCAAAAAGAAAATGTGATTTGGAATTCGAGAGGTGGCAGCAGAGAGGAAGAGGTGAGGCTGAGAAACATATTTTGATGGTATGTATAATCAACAGGGATTGGCAGTTGATTGGTGAAGTTTAAAGGAAAGGGAGATGATTTATGTGATAAGTACACAATAAAATATGCTCGTTTGGCAGGACTTATGGGTGGGGTGAGATTAGAAGCTGAAGATGAATTTCTGGTTTTTACATATCACTTTATGATAAAACGAAACGTCACAGCCATTGAGAGTCTCAGAAGCTGTCCCCAGTAAGCCTTTTGCCCGCCCTTTTCTTCACAACCAGGGGTCTTAAAATCTATCACATTAGCTGGATCTAGGAGTCAGGCAGCATGTAAAATGGGAATTTACCGAGAAACAAATGACAAGATTCTTGGAGATGAAGACACTTTCCTGAGGGGAGACAAGCGGTAAGTAATGTGGTCAGAATTCATCCAGGACCATCTGGCTCCAGTGCCGTGTTTCTTCCATCATCTTTCAAGCATCCCGTCAGTGTCAAATAGAAATGACTGATATACTTAATGGAAATGTTCTTAATGGACTTGATATTCTTCAGATTAGCTTTAATTTCTTACTGACTGAGTCTCTTCACTACTGAAGCAGCTATTGGCTGTGTCTCACCAAAGTAACATTTCCTCATCCCCATTCCTGTGTATTTTTCTATTGAATTAGTAAGAACTTTTGAAACTCTCAAGATAGTAAGTGTTCAATTATATTAAGTGACCTATTAAGTGTTCAATAAGAATTAAATTAATGAGTAAATAGTTTTAAATGTATTTTTTAATGTAATACTTTGTCCCGTTACCCAAGACTATTAAGTGACCATCAATATCTTTTCCAAACATAAATTTCCAAAGACATAGTAGTTAGCCAGTATATTTTAAAATCTAAACTGTCTCTCAGAGTACTTCAGGATCAAGGATAGATTTGGGTAGAACTGGGGAGCGGAACTAAATAAATGCTCAGTGTTACTTACTTTATCTTTGGAGAAGCTGAAGAGTTGTTTTCTTGCAGCAAAGAACTGTACAGCTATCACACTGGCAGAGTGACCCCACAGCACTCCGGCTGGCTTAGAGACAACATAGGGGTTCCACAGGCAAACTTTATTGTTAATGCCGGCAGTGGCTAATTGGAATCAGAAAGAAAAAAATGGTTTTAATAATATGAATAATCCACATTTTTTTTTTAAATAAACTGATCACACATCTGTAGACAAATGGCTGTCTTTAAGAACAGAAAAGGTGTCATTGCCCAACAGCCCAGGCTCATAGGGCATGAGCTCTGCCATTAGAAAGAGCTGAAGCCGGGGGCGTAGGGAGAAGGGGTCCTATGAGGTCAAAGGACAGTACAGTCCCTTTTAGGAAGTGACCAGCTGCACAGCCGGAAGGGGACAAAATCCTGCTTCCTAGTGCTTACATTTCCACTCTACAGCCTAGGCATGTAGACATGTTAAAAGTTACCCCAGGCGTGAGAAAGAACTAAGACAATATTTAAAGTTTCCAAACTAATTAAAAAGTATAGGAAACAGATTATCTTCAATGCCATGTCAATAATTGAGCATGCACAAGCAAATAGGAAGCACGGATATATTTTTGACCTGTGTTATTGAGAGAATGAGGGATTTTTTTTTAACATAAACTGGCTGCACCCAGGGAGCATGTGAGGAGCCGAGGGTCAGTGTCCCTTCAGGGCTGTGGAGGCAGCAGAAGCGCACTCTGTTGTGCCCTGTCCAGGGCCGGCTGCAGCTGAGCTTAGGAACCCTTATGTTTTCGGCACTGTGTCAGATACAAAGCAGTGATCAGTGGAAAGGGGTTGAATAAGCTGTCAATCCATCAGTGAAATGGTTGATAGCTGAGTCCTTACAAAATCAATTCACCACCCCTTCAGCATTCTCTAATAAATTCACAATACTCCTTGCAAGTTTAATGTTGGCATATTCCTGAGTTCATATTCCAGGTGTCTTTTACCATAGTTGTCTGCAGTTATTGTTGGGAAATTTAGGAGCTCAGCCCCCTAGCTAGGAGTCTGCCAATACTCTTTATTAGAATGATAATTACTGAATGAGGGTTAATATGATTCATTCTGCAGACCATATATGTTCATTCTCTGTAACAACCCTACTAGTTTTTCAGTAGTACCTTGCTTTTTTACAATGTTTGAACTAACAGCATACATATCAAAGTACCAGCTTTCAAATGTCTATATATTGAAATAGTTAATGCCTGGAGACCTTTATAGCTTATTTCCTCAGCTAAAATATGCTCTTTTACATCAAAAGAAAAACTCTCCTTTAATAAACTAAAGCTAGGATAATCTGAAAATTTTCAAAAACATTAGAGGTTGAAAGGTGAAAATGTTCTATATTTTGAAGTTCACGCGTGTGTAGTGTGTTGGGGGTGAGTACCAAGGAAAATGATGTATTTTGGGGGTCAAGCTCTTGGTGGTGTTAGAACAATGGCAGAATGTCTTCTTGCTGTTTATTATATTACTACCCTACCAATGCTAACAAAACCACTAATTAAAGCTTTGGGGCACTTTCTCATATCTTCATCCCAGTGTAGTTCATACACGCCGCGCATCATAATGTATCATTACCAGACATTCTCGGGCAGTAAAATGTAAGCTTCTCAAGTCGGTCTCTCTGGCAATAAAGCAACTAGGTGAAGGGGCTTTGTGCATACAAATAGGCAGCCAGACTATTTATGAGGCCCGTGTAGTTATCCTGATTTATTTTACGTACCAATTAAATTGAGTCGAGAGTGGTAATCAAAAGCATGAATGCCCTGGGCGATGCTGAAGGATGTCATTCGAAGATGCTGTTTTGATTTCTCTCTCCAAGCCAGCACCACTGTATTTGTATTGTTGGTTGTGCTGGAAATGATAACATCTAAAGAGGCACTGTAAGTAACTGATTACAAAAAGAAAAAAGAATATTTAATTGATTTCTCACAGGACATGAGCAAAATAGAACCATTTCAACATGTAAAGTTAAAGCGTAAACTCACATTCTAGTAACACAAGGCAACACTTAAGAAAACACCTCCCTCCTCCCTCCCCCCTCCTCATCTCCCATTACAGAACTTAGAGTGAAAAATTACAACAAAGTCTACATTCAAACTTTTTACTCAACCTAAGGCTATCATTAATTTATTTTTAATTGGAACACATGACAGGAAAAAATATGAATCACTATAATTATATGCAATTCTGGGGATCTAAGAGGAATAATTGGCCAAGTTGCTAGGTTTTTCCTCCTGGGTCTGAAGCAGGCAAACAGGTGCTTGAACAGCCATCTGCTCTCTCAAAGGGCCAGCTCTTGCCCAAACCATGGTTTATTTAAGGTGCGCCTGGTCTAGAATGTTTGAGTGTGGAATGGCCAGGACTTAGCGCCCTGCCAAGACTCACGGACACAGCTAGGGACGGGTGAAATGGCTACCCTTGCATTCCTGGTGACCCGGTACCAGATGATGTGGAACAAAATCCTGTTTCCCAAGCAAGGAAAGTGAGAACTCTTTGTTAGAACCTTTACATTCTTTCAGACTCAGGCTCCAAAGGCAAAGAACTGTAGTTGATCTTCCCCCAACTTCCAGCTGCTGCTACCCTCCATGGTCCAGTGGAAGTTCTCTTATGCATTTTACTCAACGATTTGTGCCCAGAATGAAAGGATTTCTGATTTGGACTCAAAATCAAAGTCCTGCCTTGTACAAAGGTTGTAACTTTGCAAAGCTTGAGGAAAGTTGCTTTACTAAAATGACCCTTAGAAATATTTCTGGTGTACATATTATATAGAATCAAGAGTGACACTGTTGGACACAATTCTCAATAGATTGCTAGAATTCCTGAACTTCTTTTGAAACTAGTCACTGACTTCCTTTGTTCTAGACTATCTTTTTAAGGATGTTTGCATAGAAAACAACCTTGGAATGTAGAGATGGTGTCTCTCTACAGCAAAATGTAGACAAACGTACTACCCAGAATGAGAAAAATAATGTCTTCCTCTGGAGTGAAAGGCAGACATGCATCCGGTCCAGTGTAAAAGACTCAGATTCTCTAAGCCTGGGGTTGCTTTCCTGTGTCACAGCCCACCGCATGTGCCCGTGTGCACCTGGAACCATGGCTTTGCCTCGGTGGGACGTGCAGGCAAAGGAAACTAACAGGAAGATGCTGAAGCCCATGTTGCTTGCTGTGCTGTGAGTAATAATGTCCTTTTTTCTCTAACATAGGAGTCTTATGTTCTTGATCATTTTAATGTTTTTTTAAAAAGCGGTTTTATTTCTCTAAGTGAGCACCACAGTGTTGGTTTTGTATTGTTGGTTGTGCTGGACATGGCATATATATACACACACACACACACTCACACACATTTCTAACTAATTACTAAAGGCAAGAAATTTTTGAGAGGCAGGATCACTCAATCCATTTCCTCTAGTCTGTTCTATTGAGTTAATAACAACTAGAATTTATTCATTAAGAGACTCTATTGACATTATGGGAATAGCTTAATTTAACATACTTCATATTTATCTCACTATGAAATATATGGCATAACATGACCAATTTAAAGCTAAATTAATAGAGTATCCAGTGTGTCATCTATAGATATCCTGTCTCAACAGATGGCATCCAATCTTCAAAGATTTATTAGGCATCTCCTATATGCCCTGTGCTCTGATGAGATTAATAAGAGGAGAAATAGACACAGCCTAGATGCTCCCATGCATGGAATAAAAGATGTAAACAACTAAAAAAACTTTAGCATATAATAAAGTGATCGGTTGAGTAGTACAAAAAGTACTATAGTCGTTGAAAGAACAAAACGGTGTGGGCCTCAGGGTTTAGAAGACGTTTGGTGAGTGCTGACGAAAAGATATCATTTCAATAGATGAGAAGTGGTGATAAAATATGTGTGTGGGAAACAAGGTGAACTCCAGAATTTGGAGCTGAAAGAGGACTAATCTTTCTTTTACAATAGAGACCCAGGTGAGTTCAGTGATTTGGCCGGTCAGCACCGGACTCTGGACTGAAGCCCAAGCTTTGACTCTGGTTCTGGTACAGCTTCATGTTCCGTAACATTTGGCAGAGCTCAAGTCCAAACTCAGAATACGAGGCATAACCTCTTGACCACTGGAACAGGGCTTCTCAAATTTCGATATGCATACGAATCACTTGGGGATCACATTGATGTAAAAATGCAGATTATCATTCAGTAAACATAAGATTCTGCATTTCTACCAAACCCCCCAGGTGCGGCTGCTGATGCTCTCAAAGCACCACACTAAGCAGCAAGCACTAGAATACACAGTGCAGAGTACTGCCGTTAGTCTACACCTCAGAGAAGTATGCCGCAGCTCTTTAAATTTAGGAGGCCACATATCCCTTTGGAAATCTGATGAGCGCTATATACCCTCTCCACCGGGAAGATGAATGAGGAATATGCACACCACGTTTAGTGTGAAACACCAGGATTTTAAGAACCTCTCCACCTTCCCTCACTAAGCCCAGCCACAGTAGATCTGAAGAACTCAGGTGAAGAACCTCCAGCTACAAGGTAATACTGAATTATTAAACCACTTCACTGGCTTTCTCAAGTGATTCTTACAATTTCTATTACTACTGATGTACTCTTTGTGCTCATCAGTGCTTATGTTGGGCTCCTTGTTTCTTAGTTTCTACTTCTTTAAAGTAAATGAGTTTAACTGGCCTTTGATGCTGGGGTTCTCCTAATCAAAGCCTGAGCACAATTTCGTAGAAAGAAAGGAAGGGCTGTGATGATGTGAATGAGACTTTCAGAAAGGGGACCAAAGCAGAGCTGCCTCACTGAGCACCAGGCACACAGAGTAATTCACCCGGAAGTGAATGGAGCCGGAAGCACTGCTAAACACCAACGTCTGCTCCTCCACTCTGCCTGGGATTCCCTGGATGGCGTGTTCCTTCTCCTCTCCCATTATGTAATCTCCCTCAACTATGCATTACTTATAACAATTATTAGGATAATGTATTGTATCTCTCCAATGTACTAGGCGTCATGCCATGTGTTTTCATCCTGCAGTCCCCTTCAGCAGGTAGATTGCTGATGAGGAAATAGACAGTCCAAAGCCAACTCACCCAAGGGCAGGCAGCTAGTTGGGGGTGGAAATGAAATTAAACCCACTCCTGTTTGGTTATGAGTTCTGTTTTGCATTACTGCATCATTTTTTTTTTTTTCACTAAGTCACATGGCCGTGTGTTTGCAGATCTGAGGTTCTTTTTATTTCCAGCTATGTCTACGTCTTGCACAGCCTCAATCCCAGACCGAGCCCCCACTTTGTCTCGAGTCTTCCTTTCCTGATCTCTTCACTTACCCCCTAGGAACACTACTTTTATGTCCTCTCTCTCCTCTCTCCATCCTTTTCTTGCATCTACTGTCTTTCCTTCTGAAAAAGAAAAAAGAAAAAAAAGGGGGAGGAAGAGAGAAAGAAAGAAAAAGGAAAGAAAGGAAGAAGAAAAAGAAAAAAAGAAGGAAAGAAGGAAGGAAGGAAAGAAGGAAGGAAGGAAGGAAGGAAGGAAGGAAGGAAGGAAGGAAGGAAGGAAGGAAGGAAGGAAGGCCAGGACCCAAGAAGTAAAGGTGAGACTTTTTTTTTTTTTTTGGTACCTGCTCCTAGTGGGAACCGAACCCAGGACTCTCTGGTCTGCAGGCCAATGCTCCAACCGCTGAGCCAAACTGGCCAGGGCTAAAGGTGAGTCTTTTGAGCCTCTGAGCCTCACTGGGGAGTATTAATTATAGGGGCATAAAGGTTCCTGATCACCTGCTAAGACCACTATTGATACTTTAGTAGAAGTATCAACAGTATAAAATCTGATAACAATTGTTCTCATTAAGAAGCAAGCTCACTGAAAATATTCCTTTTATTTACAGGCAATGCTAAGGGTTATTATAACTTGGCTCAGTGAAGCAGTATTATAAGATCTAAAGTATAAACCAAACACTATAATTATATCTTCAAATTCATGGAACATCCTTAGTATCACTACAGTATAATCAAAATAAGTTATTTCTACCCAGAAAATTGCTTTGTCACGTGTTCCCACATTATGTCCAAGTTCCATCTTCAGTTTTCTTTATAAGAAAGATGTATAAAAAAGGTACATTCTGCTCTGATATTCAAAGTATAGCTTTAATATTTGAATCTGCAGGTTACCAAGTGACATTTACGAGCCTGTAAGTAGTGTTACATACAGGAAGCTCAACAATTCACACTTTATTTTTAAAGCAAGACAGAACGTGTTTCTGATTAAACCGTAGAATGCCAAAACTCCTGAGAATGCCTGAGTATAAAGTGAGAGTAAAGCCATTTCCTTAAAATCAAATTATCTGATAGATAAAAATGTTTTCCTCACTTCTTAAAGATAGGAAAGGAAATGATAGGTAATAATGTTTTTAAAATATCAAGCTAGGGAATGGAATGAGCTGATTAAAAATAAATGATTTGTTCTTAATAGTCTCAGTGAGTTTTGGGATTGGTAGAGAAAAAAATTAATTTCTGTTAGAAAACAGAACACAAACAGACTCATAGATACAGAGAACATTTTGATGGTTGGCAGATGGGAGGGGGGTGGGGGGTGGAGGAAAAAGGTAAAGAGATTAATAAATACAAATTGGCTGTTACAGAATAGTTATGGGGATGTAAAGTACAGCATAGGGAATAGTCAATAATATTCTTATAACTATCTATGGTCTCAGACAGGTACGAGATTTATCAGCATGATCACTTAGTAAGTTATATAATGTCTAATCAATGGAGTATACACCTGAAACTAATATAATATTGTATGTCAACTACAATTGAAAAATAAAAAATAATTTTTAAAAAAAGAATATACCAAAAGAAGCACAGATTATAAAAGACTAATGAATTTGGCACTAAAATT